TGATTATACCTTATATTTGATTCCATCGAGTTTTTACAGAGATGCTACGGCTGATTTTGAGTTTGACACAGAACATCCATCCTCAGTTAAGTTAATTTGTATGGGCCAAGTGGTATAGGGTTTTAACTTAAAATATATTATATATGGATTTGGCTCATTTAACCATCAACTAATAAAAATTAATTATTTAATAAATACCCATTAACTAAATAACCGTAGTTAAATAAATAGTTCAAAATTCCCAACCAACTTCACCAACTGATCAAAAGTGACTCAAGGCAACTATCGAGATGGGTAAAACGGTAATTTTGTAAAAATTTCTAAAAAATGACTTTTCAGGTCATTACGTAAATTAATTTTTTTTTATCCTTCCTTATGATATCTGACTAATTAAATACATCTAATTTTTAATTAGTCATATTACTTAATTATCAATATATCATGTTGAGTTTGTATTGTTACTTCATACTAGTATACGTGCCCGCGCAATGCGTGGATAATATTTAAAAAAAAATGTTATATTTATGCTTGAATATATAGTATACACTTGTATACATGAAAAAAATCATTTAAATTAGTGTATCAACTATTAACACGTAAATCAACTTTTATATATAAATATGTATAACATAGTTTGATCCCATTAATGACTATAGATTTCATGTCGATAAAATTTTTGCTTGTTTTTAGAGTTTTTTTAGTTGCTTCACGTGTTGCTCTTCAACATATTTCTTTGTTTTAAAATTTTATTTATTTATGCTCTTTCATTCTATAAATTAAATTCTTTCATAATTTGAATTTCTTAATAATAATTTTAGCATTTTTTTAATATGCATAAAATAATAGTGTATATAATAGATGAAAATACGCATAAAACTTTTTAAATGTAATATTCAATTATGATAAAATCCACTTAAGTACAACATAAGTTAATATAATACAAATTAATCTCACTTTACATATAATACAAACTAATCTAATAAAGTATATGTTTTACAATTTATGGTTATTTTTTTATAATATTACCCATTAACTCTACTTTATCAAAAGAAGTACTCGAATGGGTATCTATTTAATATCACAACTATAATTTTATTTAGAGAATCTTATGAAAATGTAAAACTTGACTCAAATCATTTTATTTGTAAATAATTTCCTTCTTTATTGCATTTAAAATATGATTGATACTCCTTTGTTCTAAGAAGTCCACCTATAGGTTATTAGATTTTATTGCAAGTCATCAATCAATTACAAACAATATCAAAATAACACATGAGTTAGAATCACTCTACTCTGTTAATTTGAACAAAAGTATAATTCAAGTCATTTAATATGAATTAGTTTGTTTAAAGAAGATTAGTTTGTTGTTATATTTTACCCTTGAATTTTCTTAAATACAATGCATTATTTTTCTTATAATTTATATATGTTTGAGTTGAGAGAAAAATAATAAATGAAGAAGATCAATACAAAAAAAATTGTAATTAACAATAATTAATAAAAGAGGATCAATTTGTTATTCTTATCCTTATCCTTTCTATTTTACCCTTTACCTACATTTCATCCCTTTTATTCGTTTCATCTTCTTTTCCTTGTTTCTTTCTTTAATTCTCTTTTATTTGTTTGTTAGATTGAAAAAAAAAACTATTTTTTAATAAATGTTAGTAAGGATAAATAAATAAATTGTGAGCAGATATAGGTCAATTTCCATTTATATTACATAGAGAGATAGTATTATTATCTTCCTTTATATGTAAATTCAATATAGTTAAATATATTTATAACATCTGAAAAGATAAATTTATGAAATAGTAAGAGTTTATTTAAAATTCCATAATCATGAGTTTCTAGTTTTAATTAAGTTAATAATTTAAAAATATAATATCTTCAAATTTAAATACTTCTAATCTTTTAATTCAAAATTTCCATCATAGTTTCATCATTCATTTGCAAATTAAAAAAATAAGATTAAAAAATTATAAATATGAAAGATGCTAAACAAAGAATCATAAATTATATGTAAATACATTCAACACAGTTTGATTTTGAAACAAAACATAAGATTAAAACAATAAAAATATATTATATGTTTGACATAGTTATCGGATATAGTCTTAAAAGTGATTCTCCTTCTTCAACTACATATATTCATCACAGAAATGGCTTGATCCTAACTTCATCAACTGATCATCTTCAACATCTAAAACTTCCAAAATAAAGTACAATTATTGATAATGTATACCACATAAAACAGAAGAATAAGAGAGGAAATATGATTTAAAAAAATTACCTTTTCATGAATGGTAAGCATTATTATTGCCTTGAATTTTCTTTATTGAAATGCATTTTTTTCCCCTGGAAAAACTAAAGAAAGGACTGTCCTATTTAAATTTACTAAATCAATACGGTTGAGTTTTTTTTGGGGTAGGAAGTTAAGAAGTCAAGTGGGTGAGGAATTTCAAGGATAATTATTTGTAGTTGAAGTTTCTTTTTATTTTTTAAAAACAAAATATGTTTTTAAAAAAAGAATAAATAATTAGATAGCGTTAAAAATTGTGTAGCAATAGATGTGTATTGGACAGTTTTGATATAATAATATCTTATATTTTTCTGTTTATATAATAATATTTTCATTACTATTATTTATATTGCTTAAATATGCTTTAAAGTTATTTAAACGTTAAGTTTCAAAATGTTTTTTTAAAAAAAAAATGTTTTATATTGTTATTATTTTTAAAACTGAATTTAAACATTAAGTTCCAAAACTACTTTTTTAAAAGCTGTTTTATATTGTTATTTGTTTTCAAAATTGAATTTAAACGTTATGTTTCAAAACTGTTTTTCTTCTAAAACTGTTTTATATTGTTGCTTGTTTTTAAAATTGAATTTATTATTTAAATTAACTAAGTATATCATTTTTAAAACTAAAAATTCAAAAATAATTGTGTTACTGACATGTGGCGTTTTTTCCTCTCCTATTAGATATAGATAGATTTGACAATAATACAATTCTAAAAAATAATCCAACTATATCATACTTCAACACATTTAAATTAATTGAAGATTAGATATTTCTTAATCTAACATCATAAAAATCAAAAGAACGTGAGACCAAAAAGTACTATTATCGGCCCTTTTCTATTTTGGAAACTCTTTTTGGCATTAATCAACCAAGTTCCATCAATTCAAGAAATATTCTACTCTTCAACACATCCAAAATCAATGTTTAATTGTTGCAAATAGAAAATGACATTATAAAGTCTAATTATTACCCACTTATAGTTAGAATATTTTTCTAAAAACTGATATTATATAAATTTAACTAAGTAATATTTCATGCATAAATATGTCTTAATTTCCATTTGTAGGTCCTCGAATAGTCATAAGCCTCTTCAGAAAGATGTTGAAGTCTTCATCTCTACTCAACATACTTATCCTAACATTTCTTAAATCACTTCCAAATCTTCTTCCACTCCTTGTATGAATCTTGTGCTCTTTAAGAAGCTTTTGACAATCCTCCTCTTCACCTCCTTTGCAAATAAGCCATGCAAATGCTGTTTCAAAATATAATATGAATTTCAAATTCAAAAGAAAAGAAAACTTTTTTCAAATATATATCGATAACATCATAGCTTGTAATCTGAAATTTGACATAACATTGTAATATTTTTGTTATTACCAGGGTGTGATTCACAAAAGTCTTTTGTGAAAAGGCAATATTGAAAAGGGTATTTCTGGAGGACAAAAAAGTCATTGGCCATAACAACTTGTCTTAACCTCTTCCACCTGTCACTCATAAGAGACTGACTATATTCAAAGAAATTTTCCATTTTGGGATCCAAACAACTATCAGAGACCACTTCAAGAATCTTAGCAGCTCTAAGTTGAGCTTCTTTAGATACACCAATTGTACTAATCTCTATGAACTTTGTCATCTTCTTTGCCACCTCTTTGTCCTTAACAAGTGCCCAACTGCATGTAAATCAAATTATAATGTGTGAGAAATTGAAATTTGTAGACTTCTATAAGTTTGAGTTGTAGAATTAGTCAATGATACTTTGAAGCTAAAAATAGTTGTTGATGTGCTTGATTTTGTGATTGTGACTTCACTTGTAATTAATGTTTGAAAAACTTACCCAATTCTGGAACCAGCATGGCCAGTGCATTTGGAAATAGTGAAAAGCATAACATCATGGTTGGCAGGTGAGGTAATAGCAGTGTACTGTGGCCAATAATAAGCTAAATCATAGATTAATTTTCCTTGATTACCATTAACTACAGGCTCTCTAATAACCCCATCAGGATTATTTGGAGATGTAATGAACTCAATAAAAGGTCCATTTTTCTCAAAAGTTCTTGCATCTCCTGCCCATTTGTGTAGCCCTGACTTCACAAAGTCAGTCACTTCTGGATATGACTGCAAAAAGACAATTACTCTGTAATTAATCAAGAAATGTCACTTTTAAAGTAGACTAACTAAGTCACATGATGTGTTTCAAGAATTATATATCATGTTGTATTTAAAGGTGTAGCCTAGTGATTATTGCAATTATAAGAAAGAATTATGATTCATGTTATAATTAATGGATCTAATATGTACCAAGAACCATGTGACTAATTAATAAAAAACAAGCACTAATATTTTTAATATGTATTGCAAATCTTAGCATGAACCATGTTCTATATTATAAGTTTCTTTAGAATACAATGTAAGTAACCAACATTGTCTCAGCGAGAAACATGGTATGTTAACATAAGTGAAACATTATTAAACACCTTGTTTCGTTGACTATAAATAGGTTAATTAGAGATTGATGAACATGCATTAGGCATGTTAAAATAATATCTAAAGTCAAAAAGAATCATTAGCCTTGTTGAGTCTTAAAACCTTAATATATAGCGCCTTTTAATAAATCTTAATTTTTGACCACTAATTTTACCAAGCATAGGCTAGGACATCCATCACAATTTAAATAAAAATATATTGTATAAACGCGTACCGAATAAAAAGGTGTAGCTGAAACTACACTGATAGGCTCAAGTTGATCAGTAGGAGAAAGAGCATAAAGTGCAGCCTGCATAAGCTGGCTTGATCCAGTGCCAACAACAATATAATAATCATCCACAATTGCATTTTCAACTACATTGTGCAGCCTCTTAATTTGTTCCTCTAGTTTTGACTCCAAGAACCAACACAAGCTCTTACCACTAGAAAAATAACTCAACGAATCATCACCATTGAATGTTATGTCACACTTGTTCCCCATTTTTCTCCAATATGACTCATACATTGTTGGATCACCACTATACACACACAACAAAAATCAAATCCCAAATTAATATTCCAACAAAGAATTGAGCAATTTGTAACATTTCTACATTTTTTTAATGAAAATTGACCTAATCTCTAGAAACATAATAAAGCACTCAACATTGAATAAATCAAAATTGGTGATTTCATATATAAAAGTTGAATCAGGAAGATTGACCAAGACCATAAGCGTATAACTTATATGAAATATTCTAATGAAAAATGAATTAAAATTGTAAGAGAATACTCACTGATCTAGATTAATAGTGGTAGAAGTGTCCTTCGTATCATTTTCTGGAGTTGCACAAGAGACTGAAGAACACTTGACAAGGCAACCATCTGTTCCACACATCTTTTTCTCTTTTTTCTAAAATTTTAAATCAATCATAAATAAATTTATGAGAGAAGAAGATAGATTTGGGATCTATATATAGAGAAGGGGACAAATCTAATTACCAAAAAAAATATTTTTTTAATTAATACACAGAATTTTGGATTATCTTATTAATTGCACTTGCCAATCTCCACAAAAGGCTCTCTAATTAATTGGAGTAGAATTGCAATTATCTCTTTTCTAATCTTGATTTTTTCTTATTTAATTTTAGTTATTCTGAAATTTTCCCATGCAATAAGGAGAATAAATACTGAAGTGTCTATTTGGAAAGCTGCCACATGGTAAGTGAAATTGGTGAGGTTACGTATCACATAGCTTAGTAATTACTTAATATTGAAATTACACATGTTCGTTAGTCATAATTTAATGACAGGATAATTACAAGCATATCATTGATAGTTTAAATATAATTACACAGTTGAATTGATTAAAAAAATAAAAGTATTTATCAAAACTTAAGAATTAATATTTGATAAGTACATGCCTTAATGAATGATATTAGATTAAATATTTAAGACACATATTATTTCTTGAAAATATATTAAATTAATAATCAAATATTTGTAACTAATTTTGTGTAAAACTAAATGATATATCTTTTTCAAATAAATAATATTTTCAATTTAACTAATTGTAAAAATTTAAAGAACACGTGAACTTAATATTTGATACTAAAATATAATTTCATAACACTATTCATACATCTTTTTTAAAAAGATAATTTATCAATGGTAAGTGAAGATGAAAATATGCAATGTGAAATACCAAGTTAATAGTACAAAAATAAATAAATAAAAATAAAAAATATAACCTAATTAATTAAAAATTCCCCCCCCCCCCCCAAAAAAAAGCTTAATATGATACTTTAATGTCAAATTCCAATATAACATAAAATAAGTGTCAACATAACTTAAGTAATATAATTCGAAAGAAAGAGAAAACATAAGTCTATAACATTATTCAATAATAAAATTCTACTTTATCATGGCATAACACCAAATTTTACTAAAAGTATTTAATGGTAAAAAATACATTCTTACGAATCTCGCGGTCAGTCTTAGATATTTTAAAACTATCCAATCTAAATCACGCTGGCTCGGAGAGTTTTCCAAACCTCGAAATTACTAAGATCCACATTTAGCCAACCAACAAAACTACTAAGTCTAATTGGTTATTACTTGTTTATTAAAGAACAAGTAATTACTTGCTCTTTCTTTCTCTTTTTGCAAAATCAGATTGATTCTAAATTAAATATATTCTAATAATTATTAAAATAGAAATATTATACTTACAAAATAAAAAATATCAACAATAACAATATATAAGGGGGAAAAAATACAATATTGAGACAAAAAGCAAATCTAAGAAGTAAGGTAAGAAATATAATATAAAGAAGGTAAATCTAAGAAGTAAGGTAAGAAATATAATATAAAGAAGGTAAATCTAAGAAGTAAGGTAAGTAATTTAATATAAAGAAAGTAAATCTAAGAAGTAAGGCAAGTAATAATATCAGCTCATTTTATTTGTTTCCATACTATGACAAGGAAACTAATTAACTATTCCATTTTCCATGTAAGGTAACAAATCCCAAAGACTTTATTCCATTTCCCACCAACTGTCCCCATACATTAAATAAAAATTATTGTATTTGCTCTCAGGATATTTTTTCAAATAGTTAAAAACTACAAAAAAATAAATAAATAAATAAATAAATAAAAAATTAAAAAATTAAAAATAAAAAATTAAAATAAAATAAAATATATATATATATATATATATAAAAGAGGATCTTTAACCGATGACTTGAGTAGAATTTTTTTAGAAAAAACATACAATAATGATTTATTTACCTTAAGCTTTAGTATAAAAAAATTATCGTTGTTGAGAAATTTTTGGAGATACAAAATCTTCAACTTTCAATTGGTGTTTTAGTTCGATTTTGTATTAAATTTTTCCTTTTTTTCCCTTTTACATTAGATTTTGATATAATAAGAGTTCAAACATGAAAATTCTGATGAAATATTTTTCTTTTATTGTACTATCAATGATTGTATAGAGTATCCGCGGCTACCATTAGACAAATTTCAAATAACTATCTCAAGCTACAAGAAGTTTAGGAACATGACTCAGACATCTAAAATTAAAATTAGTCGTGTCATCATAATTTTTAAAAGTCTTTATTTTATTGCTAAATTTGTTTTAGTCAAACACTATCACATAAATTAAAATGGAGGGAGTAGCAAAAGTAAGTTGTCTATGAAACTCTAAAAATAAATAGAAATATATGAATTTACATTTTGACAATGTTGACTTTGGTCGACCTTTGTAAGTTTCAAACTTTTAAGACTCGCAAACTCTCCCAAAACCCATCTGACTACCTTTGAAATTATGGCATACATTCCCATAAGTCATAAATAGATAACCAATACTGTTGAAAGTGTCTAATAGGAGGGGGAAAAAAGACAAAAATATAAAATCATCTTGAGGATATTGTTACATTTATGGACCAAACTTGTTATGAAGTATGCAAAAATGTTCATTATGAACCAACCCTAACATAAATAATTGTTTTTGTCATTTTCTATAAAGTGCATGTATTGAATCAGAATAGTTGCATGTGATATGAGTTTGACTGTTGGTATCCAAGAGAACCAAACTCTATTATATAATATAAAATACAATGAAACTGTTATTTGATGTTGGGTCGTTATGTTGCTGAATCTTTGGTCGGTGCTTTGATAATATATTGGACAAGTCGGTATCAATTTGAATTACAAAATGGTCCTTCATCATTTTTCCATGATAAGCTATTTCTTGACACACTTCGTTGCACCTCGAATAATTTCACTGATATATATTGACAACATGCATAATCAAAATTCAAGTAAGAAGATTTTTAAAAACAAAAATCTCCGTCCAACAATAGTTCTCCACTATACTATTTTGGGATATCCAACAATACTTTCTTACTATATTCATGTACCGCTCCTTGTCACGACCCAAACCATCGTGATTAGCACCCACACTAACCCTCCGGTGGGAGAACCACTACTACAACCCAAACCAAGCAACTAAATCAAAACTAAAGCATTTAAGTTACGGAAGCAAGTTAAATAGCTAAAGACTGGAGTTCCCATAAACTCCCAAAAGATCTAACAACTAAAAAATGCAGAAAATACACCAAGAACCTGAAAGTCAATGTACCAAAACATCTAAAGTTCAACAAGTCTAAAGAAGAAGGGATACAACCCCAACTAATGAACTAACTAGAAAAGTCTAAGTCTGAAATGTGGACATAGACGAAAGGAGACCTCATGGCAGCCTGGAAGAACTAGCTCACCTTGAATTCAAACGATGATCATTGATCTTCTAAACAAGGTATGTCAATAGCCGCTTGCCCTGTACTTAACAAAGAAAGAGCAAGTGCAGTATCAGTACACAACCACAGTGTACTGGTAGGATCACACGACCATTCCACTAAGTGCAACATACATAAGTCAATATAATAATATAATCACATGCATATATCGAACATATACAATATCATCATCATTTACGAACAACGAACAACTTCACATTTCTCAAGATACACAATTATGACAAGTTATTAGTCCTCTCATGGAACTCAAACCCAAACAGTTAGCATATCGGAACGTGGTACCCGGTCCAATGCTTATACCAGAACGTGGCAACCGATCTCATAATTATGCAGGAACGTGGCAACCAATCCAAGTTAGTGTGTCGGAACGCAACACCCGATCCGTTCAACAAGCCACATTCACAATCACAAAGTACATTCTCATAATCATACAATCAAATCATGATTCATGGCATTAATCATTCATATTTCCTCATTTACAACAAGTGTGATCAATAATGCAACATTCGCATACATACATGTATCATAATGAAGCAAAGACAAACATATATCACACAATCATAGAATCAAAACCATCACCAACCTCGAAACAAGCTTGAAACCCTAAGAAACTTGATCCTTCCCTTTCCGGATTCGTTCCGCTTGTTATTGGTCTATAAACAATCAATATAATACGGGAATCAATAAATAATACTAATTACCCGGATTACTAACAATTCTAACAACCCTAGATCATACTAATGATCCCAAGTATCCAAATAAGGGCTTCTCCACCATAGTTTCTAGATCAACCCCCCCCCCCCCCCCAATCGATAATTACCTTTTCGATTACATTCTACGGATCGAAAAATGGATTCGGGGAGTTAAAATCTTACTTTTAGCCTCAAGAAAAACCATGGGTTCGTTCCTTAGCTCTCAAATTCAAAAATTGCAGAAAAAAACATTTTTGGGGTTTATTTACGACTTTAAGTCGCGTTGGACCCGCCACAACGATCCTCACCCCGCCCTGGCGACAGAAACCACCGCCAAAGCGTTTTGCACGAAACAGTAAGCAAATTAAAGAAATTCAAAACCCCCATTTCACAACACCTTCAACCAACGACACTCAGAAACTACCGTTCACGCTAAGATCAATTTTGGGAGTTCTACTTACCCGAATTCAATTCCGTAAAGATTTATCTAAAAACCCATGTAATCAAAATCATAATTAGATCACCCAATTGCTATCAGATTTCCCTAGACCTCAAAGACTCCGATTTCGTCCAAATTTGGACTAGGTTAGGAAATTCCAAGTTACTACGAAAAAGTTTTTCGGCCCAAAATTTTTCCATGTTGGCTTTTCCATAACGACAGAACCCGGTTGTTACACTCCTCCAATTCCATACGAAAGATTTCGTAAAAGTTTTGCAAAAAAAAACATCTAAAAATCATATCACCAAAATATCACAAATGAAAAACTAAGAAAATCACCTAATTTCTTGTAAAATGGCTTCTAAATGTCCTATATATGTGTGAAAAATGGTGAGGCTTTATGTGCTTCTCCCCAACTCCCTACGAAAAATTTGTAAAGGTTCTGCTATAAAAATCATCTGAA